CTGTTGACCCCCCCAAGCACCAAGATGACAGAGCATCACTTGCCCCAGAGCCCCTATCTATACCTTGTGGCTAATATCCACTGATGGACCTCTGCTCCATATGCTTATCTAATTCCCTTTTGAAGCCGTCCATGCTTGTAGCCGCCACCACTTCCTGTGGCAGTGAATTCCATGTGTTAATCACTCTTTGGGTGAAGAAGTACTTTCTTTTATCCGTTCTAACCCGACCGCTCAGCAATTTCATGGAGTTCCCACGAGTTCTTGTATTGTGAGAAAGGGAGAAAAGTACCTCTTTCTCTACCTGCTCTTTCCCATGCATAATCTTATAAACCTCAATCATGTCACCCCTCAGTCGTCGTTTCTCCAAGCTAAAGAGCCCTAAGCGCCTTAACCTTTCCTCATAGGGAAAGTGTTCCAACCCTTTTATCATTCGAGTTGCCCTTTTCTGCACTTTTCCCAAAGCTATAATATCCTTTTTAAGGTGTGGTGCCCAGAACTGCACACAGAGGAGCTGCAATCCTTGTGCAAGTGGATCGCTGTATCCAACCCTAATTCCATAAGACAGTCACTTTTTTTTTTAAAAAAAAAGCACATTGCTTTTTAAAGAGAGCCACTAATTTTTCAGTAGAATTATATTCAGAGCTGCTTAAAACACACATGCACACACACACACACATTATTGTATGTGTTTACAACATCCTCAGGGCATAGTTTATCTAGATCTTTTAACATTCTGTCATATTCCCTTTTAAATTGTGCCCCAGAACATAAAAAGGCTTGTTGCTCTCCCCCCCCCCTTTCGACCAATGAAAACCGAGATGTTTTAAAAGTTGGATGACATTTTGATCTCGGAAATTTAATTAAAAAATCATATGGAATTTTAACAACCTATAACATAGTCCCTAGAAAATGTACATTCTCGCCTTAAGCACCTTCACTTGGCATTCAGTTCCCACTGAAATCAACAGTGCTCATTTCCAAATAAATGCTCTTAGAACTGAGGTTGCAATTTAGCCGAATTGTTTAACAGAGAGCAGGAGGTTTAACCATTTTGAAACCTTTGGAAGTGTGTCAAAACATTTGCTACCAATGCTCCCTCTAAGCTGTGGAGTCTTGTGAGCAAAAATTCTACTTTGTGAGCTACTAGAATTAAAGTTGTGAGTGAGCGATTTGGCTACTGCATAAATTAGTTTGCTCTGGAGCCATCCTTCCTGAATTAAGACAAAAATCTGTGAGCCGGAGGCTTAAAAACTGTGAGCTAGCTTGCACTAACTCAGCTTAGAGGGAACACTGTTGCTATCTGCTTTGGGTCCTTGTTGGAGAATGGACAGTTAAATATAAGGTGGGGAGGATCATAAATAGTATATTGTAGATAAGACCAACAAGGAAAGGATTCATTTTCATAAACCTCTTTAGCTAGCCATTGACCTCAATTTTATATGTGGCCTCCCAACCTCTCCAGTAGCTCAGTGCTTTAAAAAGGAATCTGCCTTGTTCCTCCATGGGAAAACTGTTCAAAATCTCAGACTGAGATAACATCGAAGGCAGAAAATCCTCCAAGTACTTTCAGAACAGCCTCCCCCCCCCTTTTCAAAAGCCAATATTAGTTTATTTTTCTTTTTGAGTAACAGCAGATGTGCAGGTTTTCTTCCATAAGTGAGCATACCCCACTGTGGGCGTACATACAGTGATCATCCACAAACAATGTGGAATTTTACATAAATGACACTGCCTGCCAATGAACATTTCACTGGGGAAGTGATACTGAAGACTATACTCCAAGAGGACATAAAAAAGATAACATTACTTGATATCCCAGAGTTTAAAAGCAATGCACTCTAAGAAATCCTGAATCACTCTGAAAAGTACCGATGGTTTCTCTTATTTTAAAAGGGAGCTCATTTCAATGCTTAACCTGTAACCAGTAGCTTTAACAAAAGCCCTCAATTAGTTTGAATTCTTCTTAAATTTCTCCTAAGACTAGATTTTTATAAGTAGCTGTCTTATCTGTAAAAAAACCCAACAACCGGGGGGGGGGGGGGTTTCTCTCAGCTTGTTTTGTTCTTTATCTCAAACATTTGTCTTTTTAATTCTGCTGCTTCAGTTTTGCCCAGGCCTCCTGCTCCTTCTGTTAGATTTGATTTTCCTCGTCCAATTCTTCTAAGCCTGAGACCTGTGTTATTTCTCTCACCTCTACACTTAGTACTTGCTTCTCTCATCCCTCATGATCTTGACTCTGAAAGCTCTAATAGCTTCCCACATTCCCCACATCAGCCACATGGGTAGCTGATGTGCACCCACAGGGGACAGGAGTGGACCCTTACAAAAAGGGGGTACACCTCAGAGTATGAAGACAAAAAAAAGTTACTCATAATGACCCAGCTGTCACAACCCCATGTTGTATGGGAATGTTGCCATCAGAGAGCAGCGTACAGGAGCGAACCCTCGGCTACATAGAACTTGGTGTTACAATGCTGTTTGCTTCACTTCCGTCACAGATATAAAGTGGAGCTGGACAGGAGGAAGACAAATGGGCTTACAAGATGCCCAGCTATCCTTAGAGCAGTGTTTTCCAACCTGTGGGCTGGGTTCCAAAAGTGGGTCACAGAGCCTCTGCAAGTGGGTCGTGGGCCAGCCCTCCCTAATGGCCACCCCTGCCCTTTCCATTGCTCTGTACTGTATCTTGGAAACCAAGATCTGACCCTGGAAACAGTATCTTGTTTCCAGTATCCATATACCCTGGAAACAGTATATGCAGTTTCTTCACTGCATATACATCTTGATCAAGTAAAATGTGTCCTGATGGGTCACTAGAACAAGTGAGAATCTTAGAGGGGGGATTAGAGAGCGTAATGGAGAAGGAGAGGGTAGTCAAAGGCTGGAATGTAACCTCCATATGCAAAGGCTGTGTATGTTGGAATGCTACTTGCTTGGGGTTCATAGTGAGGAGGGATGCTGCGCTCTTTGAGTGATATTTATTGGTTTCTCAAAAACATCTGGTTTGCCACTGTTTGGTGTAGTGGTTAAGTGTGCGGACTCTAATCTGGGAGAACCGGGTTTGATTCCCCACTCCTCCACTTGCAGCTGCTGATGTGACCTTGGGCAAGCCACAGTTAGAGCTGTTCTCAAAAGAGCTCTCTCAGCCCCACCTACCTCACAGGGTGTCTGTTGTGGGGAGGGGGAGGGAAAGGAGATTGTAAGCCGCTCTGAGACTCCGAGTGAAGGGCGGGATAAAAATCCAATCTCTTCTTCTTCTTCTTGTAGAAAATGGAATGCTGAACTAGATGTATGCCAAGGTTATATTTTGCCTAGGTGTCAACTATGGGCCTGCTGTGGATTGGTCACCACATCAAGTAAATCTGTGGGTCACCATACCAAAAATTTTGGGAACCGCTGCCTTAGAGGACATTGATAACTCTGCTTTTCCCATGGCTCAAGGCTGCTTACAATGCCTAATTAAAAACATCCAAGTACCAATAAAATCCCAATTAACCCCCAACCAAATAAAATGCCAGCCACTTGGTAGTGGAAAATGTCGTCAAGTCACAGCCGATTTACGGTGACCCCGTAGGGTTTTCAAGGCAAGAGACATGCAGAGGTGGTTTGCCATTGCCTGCCTCTGCACAGCGACCCCGGACTTCCTTGGTGGTCACCCATCCCTTCACATGACTTTCATCTCTTATATCTTTTGGTTGGTAACAGTAGGTGAGTTACATTGTTTGCAGTAAAGTTTATATTTTCTGCCCTTAGAATTAGACAGCCACATGTTAAAAAATACATCTGGGATTAAGTATTAGCAGGGCTGTTGTTTTATTAGTTTCGCTGAGATGTTTTGTGGCACGTAGGCACTCTGATTCAGAAACAAGAACAGAACAGATTCAGGTGGGTAGCTGTGTTGGTCTGAAGCAACAGCACAAAATTAGAGTCCAGTGGCATCTTTAAGACCAGAAAAGTTGGTATAAGCTTTCCTGTGCATGCACACTTCTTCAGATACATTGAAATAGAAGTTACCAGTCCATACAGATAGGTAGAGGTGAGCAGCAAATTAGCATAAGCATAATAAAAGGTGTTTTACAGATGCAAGGGCCAAACTGAAATAACGCTTAGTTTTTACGTCCACCATTTTTTTGGGTTTAATTCCAGCTGGGGGTGGGGGGGACACGACTTGGTGAGACAAATAAATATATCAGAATTGGAGATTGATGTGTAAATGTACCCTTCTTAATTGTGGGATGCTGAGAGTAATTAACTGAGACCCTGTTGTTCTGCTCCATCTGTCTCCTCTCAAGTATGGAGGTAACTAACAGCATCCTTTCCTTTAAGGTGTGGTGATTGGTTGTGTAGTGTTATGTCTCCTATGTCTCCAGACCAAACCAGTGTTCCCTCTAAGCTGAGTTCGCGTGAACTAGCTCACAGTTTTTTAGCCTCCGGCTCACCCATTTTTGTCTTCACTCAGGAAGGATGGCTCCAGAGCAAGCTAATTTATGCAGTAGTCAAATCGCTCGCTCCCAACTTGAATGCCAGCAGCTCACAAAGTAGAATTTTTGCTCGCAAGATTCCACAGCTTAGAGGGAACATTGGACCAAACTACTATTCCAAATTACATCACTATGTATGATTCCTTAATCACTATTCCAATCTACTATTCCAAATAAAAAATGCAATAAAATAAAGAGGATGCATAGCCCTTCTTGTTGAGAATATAGATGTAAGGACCAAATGAGATTAGCATATGTAGTAAAATAACAAACCAATATCCCTGTTAAGTCCTGGGGATTTTATTGTTCTGAGCATTGTAATAACTTGTAATTCAGCAATTTCACTTTCCAGTCTGCTCCTGAAATTCCTTTGCAAAAGGTCAGCTATCCAAGTACTAACCAGGGCTGACCATGCTTAGCTACACTCAATTAAAACCTGTAGTAAACCAAATTCCCTTATAGAGCCTCCTAAGAGTCTCCAAAGTCCTGATGGCATACACCCAAGAGTTCTTAAGGAACAAATGTGATACCGTTGATCTACTAACCCGCATATGTAACATCACTAAATTCAGCCAATGTACCAGAAGACTGGAGAGGAGCAATTTTTAAAAAAGGATCCAGAAGGGAACCAGGAAATTATAGGCCAGTCAGCCTAACATCTTTCCCAGGCAAATTAGTAGAAACTGTAATCAAAGATAGACTTGTTAGGCACACAAAGGGACAAAGCCTGCTGAAGGAAAATCAGCATGGCTTCTGCAAAGGGAAGTCTTGCCTCACCAGCCTTTTGGAGTTCTTTGAGAACGCGAACAAGCATGTAGACTAAGGTGACCCAGCAGACATTATATACTTGGACTTTCAAAAGGCTTTGGACAAGGTACCTCACCAAAGACTCCTGAGTAAACTTAGCAGCCATGGGATAAGGGGATGGGTTCAATTATGGATTAAAAACTGGCTAAATAACAGGAAGCAAAGAGACAGTTGTCACAATGGAGGGAAGTAAGCAGTGGGGTCCCACAAGGATCAGTACTGGGGCTGGTACTATTTAATTTATTCATAAACTAGGGAAAAGGCCTGTTGTGGAAATAAATACAACGATCTCTAGAAGGAGGCTCTGGGCGGGTGCCCAGGCCTTGGACACTCAGCAGGGTATAATGACACTGAGTCCACCATTTTCTCCAGAGGAACTGATCTCTGCTACTTAAAGAACAGTTGTAATTTTGAGTGATCTCCAGCCCTCACCTGGAGATTGGCAATGATGGTTCCCCAGAAGGGAATGGTTGGTTTGGAGGGTGGAGTTTATGGCTTTGTACCTGTCCGAGGTCCCACGCCTCCTGAAACCTCACCCTCTCCAGGCTCCATCCCTCAAATCTCAAGAAATTTCCCACCTGGAGTTGGCAACCCTATCTCCTGCCCAGCCAATTATCAACCTACCTTTATTTCCCCCTCACTCTTCAGCTTTCCACCCCACACACACCTGCAACCTCTCCCATGCTCGGAAGCCCTGACTGCTACGTCACATTGGCTGTCATACGGGGGCCATCTCAGCAGCATATAAGGATACAGAGCCCACCATTTTCTCCAGGGGAACTGATCTCTGCCATCTGGAAAGCAGTTGTAATTCTGAGTGATCTCCAGTCCTCACCTGGAGATTGGACACATTTTACCTCAGAACAGCAAACCGTTCAGAATGTTAGAGGCAAAAGCCAATCAAGTCGCATATGCAAATGACCTCTGTGTTCCGAGGCAAAGGCCAATGACACTGCATATGCAAATAACCTCTGTGTTCTGACTGGCTATGGGGGGGGGGAACAGCAAACTGTTTAGAATGTTGGAGGCAAGACTCAAGCAATGCAGCCAGTGGATAGGGACAGATTCTGAGTGACACACCAGGGCGCCAACCAATTCCGGAGCGTGTGGAATGTTCTAGAGAAGTGCCACCACCATTCGGCTTTTATATATAAGGGAGATGATCTGGAAGTAGGGGTGAGTACTGTAGTGGCCATGTTTGCGCACGGTACAAAATTCAGGATGGTGAAAACCAAGGCTGACTGTGAAGAGCTCCAAGAGGGCCTCCACAAACTGGGTGAGTGGGTGACAATGTGGCAAACGAAGTTCAATGTTCGTAAGTGTAAGGTGATGCACATTGGAACAAAAAATCCCAGCTCTAGGTATAGGCTAATGGGAATTGAATTTGCTAAGACTGAGAGGGGAAAAGATCTTGGAGTCATAGTGGATAGCTTAATGAAAGTGTCAGCCCAGTGTGCTACAGCGGTGAAAAAGGCAAACTCTCCCACTCCCAAAATACTAGAACTTGAGGGCTTCCAATGAAGCTGATAGGCAATAGGTTCAGGACGCACAAAAGGAAATACTACTTTATGCAGAGAGTGATTAAAATGTGGAATTTGCTGCCAGAGGGAGGGTGGGGTATAAATCGAATGAATAAATAAATAAATTCATGGAGGATGAGTCTATCAATGGCTGCTAGCCATAGTGACTGAGGTGAACCTCCACATTCAGAGGCACTACTAAACCTCTGAATCCCAAAGCCAGGAAGCAACATCAGGGGAAGAGCTCAGCCTATATGCCCTGTTGTTGGTCCTCGAGAGGAACTGGTTGGCCACTGTGTGAGACAGGATGCTGGACTAGATGGACCACTGGTTTGATCCAGCGCGGCTCTTCTTATGTTCTTATGTTCAAGGTTGGTGCCCCCCTCACCTCCTCAGAGAGCCTGGTTCATAGTGACCCCAGAGAAAGCACAGGCCCTTGTCAACAGCAGGTGGGTCACCTTCAGTGAGGGAACACCCTGGAGATGGCAAGCTGAAGGTGATAGCTGGTGCACAAAGCGTACCATAGAGTATAATATCTGGGGCTTAAAACATATATTATCCTAGTGAGAGGATACATAAGGATACATTATGCACACATAAGGCAGACAACAGTGTTGTCTTATTTAAATCCGTAATGCCAATGGCTAGTTCCTAGGGGACAGGGGGATGGGGCAGCATCTGAATACTTCTTAAAATTGGGGGCTCTGACCTGGAATTTCTACCACTTTATCCTAAATATGTAGGATCTGGCTGGAGTCAGCGAGCAATAAGGCAAGCATACCCTATACGAGGTACTAGGTTACTGTTTTACTAGCCCCAGGGCTAAACACTGGCTGGCACTGAAAATATGATGGGCAACTGAAACAAAACCTGGCCCAGAGCTGCAGTTGCCACATGGAGAAAAGGAATGTCAGCAATTACTTGAGTCACCTACCAGAAAGTGATTCGGTGCTCTGACTGTTGATGTTGTGCGGCGACTCTTGGAGTGAATAAGCAGACGTCGGGATGGCTGACGGACTGATGCTGTTTGCAGACATGTACGAAGAGTTGTAGGAGGAACTGTAATACTGTGAATACTGGCTTTGGGTGAAGCCGGGATACGAAGAGTACTCCTTTGAAAGAAGAGACAGCAACTCTAATTGTTCCAAAGAAGCCAAGGCCTTGCCGTACCCAACACTTAAACAGAAAGCATAACGGGCAACTATGCAACAAGGTATTATTGGCATGTGCCAGGCTTATTAATATTTTGCACTACTGTGCTCAAATACACTCCGTAGATTTAATGGCTTGGATCCTATGAATGAGTTACATGCACAGTACATAGGTTCTGCTGCAAAGTGTGTGTCCTCTTCCGCAAGATCAATGGTTTTCAGTGGAGCCATGAGCAAATGGAAATTTTAGCAGAAGAGGAAGCACACTGTCAAGAGGACACGGAACTCATTCATAGGATCCAGTCCTATGTCATTTATGTCTGTGGAGTTCATTCTGCTTACAAGGTCGAAGACTGGAAAGTGGAAGAGCAAAACAATAACTTGCTCAGTGATCTAGCGAGTCCCATTTGGTACACTCAAAGGGTGTAGAGCATTCCGCATTTGTTTCTTCTAAAGCACTGCACTGCTGCACCACTGTGGAAATGGCGTGTGCATCTTAATTGCATTGAACCAAAGCTGCAATACGCTCTGCTAAGAAGTCACCAGTAATTTCATCCTTCTTTCATGTTTTCACTCAGGTTCTACATCCAGCTCCTGAAAGACAAATAGCTGCTTGACTAGACATACAATCAGGGTTTGGAAGAAGTGAGCAGTGACTCATGGAAGCTCATATCCTGCCACAAATTTTGTTAGTCTTTAAGGTGCTAATGAACTCTTGCTCTTTTCTACTGAATCAGGATTCTGGTTGCTTTTTAAAAAAAATCCTAGTGTAGGATGGTTTTCAAAAGACACAAAATGTTACATAATTTGCTGCAACTTACAAAGGAGGACAGGAAAAGAGGGACGTAGAGCCTGCATTGAAACGCTGTCCGCAGAGGTCTGAACAAAGTCACTGTTTTGCAAACCTGCATCAAACCATAATTTGCATCTAACAGCAGCATGCTTAGAGTCTAGATAGAGGAATTTTCCAGGTCAAGATGGGTAGACGTGTTAGTCTGTCTGTAGCAGTAGAAAAGAGCAAGAGTCCAGTGGCACCTTAAAGACTAACAAAATCTGTGGCACAGTATGAGCTTTCGTGAGTCACAACTCATACCCTGCCACAAATTTTGTTAGTCTTCAAGGTGCTACTGGACTCTTGCTCTTTTCTACTACTTTTCCAGCTCTGTTATTTGACACACACATTATCACTTAAGCTATAGTCTCTCCCCATTCTAACATCCCGATGGGAAGCTGCTGTCCAAACTTATTAGAAACAGAATTTAGGAAGTATTTTTGTAGTTTCATATGTACCATAGAGTCTTATTGCTCTGAGAGTCCATTTCAGTATTTCTACTGAGGGAAAAAAAGGAGAGGCTCACTTCATAGTTGGTCAACAGCAACTTTTACTGGCAAGCATTCTCATATAGTATTTCTGCATGTAATGTATCCACACACATATATGGTGCTCGCATATGCGAAACGTGAAGTTCACAAACAGGTGTGCATCCAAAGAAGGAAGAGAACAAGCTCATTCCAACAGCTTCATATTCACGGGGGTCTCCACGTGACATTTTAGATGGTATATTCAATATTTGTTAGCTAAAGCCAAGGCTGGAAGGGGAAGAAGAAGGAGCTTCCTGCAAGACGATGGAAACTGCTCGTTTTCAGAGGGAAAATATATAAAGTGGCTCATACGATACTGTAGGCTCCCCATAAGGATTCTGAAATGTTTTCAGCAATACAACCCAAGACCTGAGCCAGGGCCAAGATCGGTAGAAGGAGGAAGAGAAGGGGAAAAAAGCAAAATTGTTTTGAAAGTCCCTTGCCAACCTGCTGAGCTCTGTGAGTAGCTTTAGATAAAGGCTATTTTTGAAAAAAAATAATCAGATGTTAAGCATTTTACGGATCTTGCCCTGTCAGGCACGCAGCTCATTCTCTTTCACCTGCCGCTGCTGGATTTGGCGCTTCAACTAAGGCATGAAGGGCACAACTAGATGATTTGGCGTTCCAGTGGACACCGCACCCATTTTACAGCAGGAACTATCATCCTTTAAAAATACTTCAGGGGGGCAATCCTACTTGTTACCATGGAGATGTCTCCTCCCCCTGTGTGGTGAAGGAATGGGCCCCTGCAGCATAAGAACATAAGAGAAGCCATGTTGGATAAGGCCAATGGCCCATCCAGTCCAACACTCTGTGTCACACAGTGGCAAAAAACCAGGTGCCATCAGGAGGTCCACCAGCGGGGCCAGAACTCCAGAAGCCCTTCCACTGTTGCCCCCCAAGCATCAAGAATACAGAGCATCACTGCCCCAGACAGAGTATTCCATCTGTACCTTGTGCCTAACGTGGACCTCTACTCCATATATTTATTCAATAAACTCTTGAAGTTGTCTATGCTTATAGCCGCCTCCACTCCCTGCAGCAGTGAATCCTACATGTTAATTACTCTTTGGGTGAAGAAGTTGTGCTCTAAGAAGACGGGATTCGTGACAGACTATCTTTGTACACCAGCTAGATCAGTACCACTGTACCACCAACATCTGATAAATTCCGATGGTTATTCTCCCTGTATAAACCTGGAGCAGTTGGTCTTGGGTGCACCTATGGTAGGTGTGCATGAGGGAGAGGAGTTGAGCTAATTCTTCCCAGTTTCTCACTACCTCTCCTTTCTGGGCTTCTCTCCCTCTCAACTAGAGACCGAACTAATCTTCACAAAAGTGTCAATGCCTGTGCATGTTTTCGGAGCGATCCTAGGATTAATGTGAAGTTAGAGCAGGGGCCTCCAACCTTTGGAATTCTGACACAGTGTGGTGGGCACAGCTACTAAATGGCTGTCACAAAATGGCTTTTTGTGGTACAGCTGCTGCCAAAGCAACATTTTTTAAAATCTGCACAGCCAATGAAATCTCCATTGATCAATCAGAAGCCTTGCTGGGCAAAAGCTTCTCCTGGCCCCACCCACTTTCTTAAAGCACTTGGCGGGCACCTGGAAAGGTGGTGGCGGGCCCACAGTCACCACACTGAGGACCCCGGGTTAGAGTATCTTTTTGCAAAGCAGTCCCTCTTCCCTAGAAATCAAACCCTTTGGCTTCTATGAGTCTAATTCAAGCAAGAAGCACAGATAGGTAGGAAGTGTTTTATAGCAAGAGGAACATATAGAAAGTTTGGTTAGTTTTTTAAAAATAAAACAAATGCTAGCGAGAGTTAACTCCTACTTTGAGGATCACCCCTCCTCTTTGTGATCTGAGGGACAGGTCCGTATCAGCCCTCTCGAGCTTCCAGGACAAAAGGGAATGCGGCTGGGTACCACTATTTCTGGGATTGCAGAAGGAAGCCCCCTCCCTTGTTTGGGGCAATAAGAACTGAGGGCTTATTCTCCATTTCCCTCCACAAACCAATTCACCAGTAATATTCCCAGCTATGGATCAGAGGCTTGTTGGCCATGCCTTCGAATTTATTGACATGGAAATTTGGCTCTTTGGCACCTTGCAAGTGAAAACTTGACCTTCCATCAGGAGCAAATACAGCTGGGGTTCTGATTACTCATTCCACAATTTAGTATAAGAGAATTCCCCCCCCCCCCCAACGTCATAGTGATGTATGACCATCAGGGACAAGTATCAACGGTCGTCTACGCAGAAGTTTCAATTTGTACCTGATGCATTGTGCTGAACCCAGCAGAACTCGACAGGCCATTGGGTCCCTGGTATATCCCTGAGGTACCTAAGAGAAGAGAAAAGAATTAGAAACTTTAGGTAATGGAATTCCAAAAATCAGTACCCCTGAAGTACCCAGGCACAATTTGGTCTTCTGTATCATCCTGTCAAGGTGGGAAGAAGGATTTGACATTACAGTAGGCACCGTTGCTCAGTGCAAGAGCACATGCTGGATAGGTAGGTGGTCCCAGGTTCCCTCCCCAGCATCTCCAGTTAAAGGATCTCTTAGAATAGGTGTTGGGATTTGGGAAAGACCTGCCAGTCTGAGTAAACAGTATTGACCAAGACGGACCAATGACCTGATTCAGTATAAGATACCTTCATATGTTCACAGTGTGGGTAAAGTGGGTAGTAAAATGGCCAGCCACAGGCACCCAGAATAGCAGGATGAACTGGTTGAGTCCATTACCAGGATTCATTACCTAATTCGTTACCAGGATTCCATATGTCTCCACCATATTGACTCATTGTTTACAAGTGTCAATCCAGGTGGAGAAAAAAATGCCTGGGGAGAGAAGGGTCAGAATTACACCCAGTGGTCCAACTGAAGACATGGTTGGTATAGCTTAGGAACAAGAGCCAAATGAATGGATCTAGGTTTTGTATAATCACTTCGACCCACATAACCTCTTTTCACAAGTTATATCAAATGCGTTTGGGGGCACAGCCAGTGAACGTAATCATCCACCCACTTATGTGCACACAGCTCTCCCCTTTCATCACGTCTCAGCCAACTTATGGTGACCTTGCAGAGTTTTCAAGGCAAGAGGTAGTTTGCCACTGCCTCCCTCTGCATAGCAACCCTGGACTTCCTTGGTGGGCTCCCATCCAAGCACCTTAGCTTCCCCAATCTGATGAAATCAGGCTAGCCTGGGCTACCCAGGTCAGGGCAAACCCGGTTTGATTCCCCACTCCTCCACTTGCAGCTGCTGGATGACCTTGGGCAAGCCATAGCTCTGACAAGAGCTGTCCTTGAAAGGGCAGCTCTCTCGGAGCTCTCTCAGCCACACCTACCTCACAGGGTGTCTGTTGTGGGGAGAGGAAGGGAAAGGAGTTTGTATGGCACTCTGAGACTCCAAGTAGTGAAGGGCGGGGTATAAATCCAATCTCCTCCTCCTCCTCCTCTTCCCTTACTGTAGCTGATAACCCCATCAAGAGTACTTACTTATCTCAGCAACTTTCTTTTGTCCCCCAAGCCATGCAAGTAAGTATTAACATTTGTAGATACTTAAACTGTACTGTCTTTTTCTTCATACTATCAAGGTATTTTTAGTAAGGTTTGATAATACACACAATCATTTACAGCAGTAGACTTCAGTTCTGTAACTTCATTATTGCGTACAAGGTCCTTGCCTCGTGAAATCTACTTGCCATCCTGTATTTTAGACAAAGTACTCTTCAGACATTGTGGCCACGCGTGTATCAGGGAACAAGTACCATCTGTGACCCTCCAGAAATGGGAGCGTGCTGTGCACAGACCTGAAGAGAGCATGCAGACAGGAGAGGTCATGGCAACCAAGCCTCTGATCGCTCCTGGACTTCATGTAAAGGCAAATGCACCTACCATCTGCAAATGTGTTATTCATGCCCCTGCCAAGCTGCTGAAATGACCCAGTATGGAGCAGGAATTAGCTTAAGGCCCCCTCCCCTTTTCTTTAAAAAAAGGAACCCAAAGAGTCAAATGCCAGATTCCCAGTGCAATCCTACCCTGAGTTACTGCAGCCTAAAGTAATTAATTCCAATTGGGCTTAGGCTGGAGTAACTCTGCATAAAATTGCAATATCGGTTTCTCCTCCTATGAATTGCCAGGTTCTTCAACTGTGTTGGAGAGCCAGTACATGGGACCGAGCGGAGAGCAGATTTAGCCAGAGCACAGGAACAAATGCTTCTCAGTGTCTCCATGCTGTGTCCCTTCTCTGAATATCCGCTTGTTTGTTTTTATTTTAAGACCTAAGATTAAGCAGGGGAACGGACAGCTGAACAAACTGCAGCCTGCCAAGTGCAGTCAGTCACAAAAGCACATGCAGGGAGAAATAACTCTCATGCCAAAAGTGGGGAGGAGGGGGGAACCACCCTAGGAGGAGAATCTGTTTCCAGAACTAATTTGCCACCACATCTGGCCTTGAAAAGCATTTCAGACAAAGAAAGAGGAGGGGGGAAAATACTAAAGCACAGAGAGGTCAAGGGCTAATAATCTCTCACCGTGGAGCCTGCCTGGAGATGCCAACCTTGGCAACTGCTTCAGTTGCGTATCTTCCAACCCAACCCTACTCAAAAGCATTTGTGCCAAGGAGATGAATCAAAGAAAGTACCTAAATGTTAACAGCTTTGCATTCCCAAGCCCCCTGCCCCACCAATTGTCTCTCAAGGAAGGAATTCAGCACTCAAAACCCAAAAATCAAGGCTCAAAGATGTTAAGGCAAAAAGTGTTGGCATTGCTAGAAGTGCCCCTCCAGAAACAAGCCCTTGAAACTGGTGCAGCCTGTGTGGTGCCGGGGAGAATAAGAACAGAAGAAGACTCCCGCTGGATCCAGTGGTCAATTCAGTGGTTCATCTATTCAGCAACCTGTCTCACACAGTAGCCAACCAGTTGCCCTGGAGGACCAACAAACAGGGCCTAGGCTTTCTCATGCTGTTTCTTGATGTTGCTTCTTAGCATTAAGGGGTTTGCTGTGGAGGTTCCTTTAGTCACCATTGCTACCAGTCATTGATGGACCTATCTTCCATTAATTTCTCTGACTGTTTTTAAAGCCATCCATGCTCACGGTCATCGCTTTGCCCATCAGCAGTAAATTCCAGTTTAATTTCTCTGTCCACTTTCTCTATCACCCGCATAATTTTATAATCTTTAATGTCCCCCCCTTAGCCATCTCCCCCACCCCCCAAACTGAAAAGTCCCAGTTGCTTTAGCTTTTCCTCACAGGAAAGGTACTCTGTCCCCTCAGTAATTCTGGCTGCCTCTTCTGTACTTTTCTCTAGCTCTGCAATATCCTTTTTCAGAAGCAGCAACCAGAATTGTACATTGTACTTCAAATGAGGTCAAACCACCCAATCCATTTTGTTTTTCACCATCCTGAATAATCTGGCATCATCAGCAAACTTGGCCACTACACTGCTCACCCCCAATTTCAATGAATTTATTAACAAATTAAGTAACACCAGTCCCAAAACCAATCCTTGGAGACCCCACTGTTCACCTCCCTCCATTGTGAGAACGGTCCATATATTACCACTCTCTGCTTTCCGTCATTTAACCAATTTTTAATTCATAATTCATCCCACAACTGCTAAAATTATTCAAGAAACTTTGGTGATTCCTGTTCAAAAGTTTATTGAACTGACTAGGGACACCTGAATTTAAATCTCCACTGGATACATAACTCCCTAGGTGATCTAGGATCAGTCACATGGCTAGACCTGTTGGGAAATGAAATGTCTGGTGCACAAGAAGAAAAGAAGCTCCTACAGGGGGCGATATATGGAATGCTGATCAGATAGGGTCCTTCTTCCTTCGGCTAAATATCATTTCCTTTGTCCCCAGAATGCAATTCACAGGCTGTTTTCTGCTTCATCTCAGTTCTTTGTCTCTCCCACCAGCATGTAGTTCGGATGCTACCTATCTCTCTCTATGCAACTATGTTAGTTCCTAAAATAAACTACTTTGTTTTTCTCTAACGTATCTTCTGCACACTAAATAGTTACTCAATGGACAAGACCAATCGATCTCACAGGGTTGATGTGAAGATAAAATGGAGGAGTGAAGAACCATCCCCTGAATGCCTTCGGGGAAAAACATGTCACACTTGGAATAAAATGGAAGGAGTATCTATCCTATTAAGGCCAAAAGGCCAGATTCTGTCAGAGTAGGGCCTATTCAAAAATCTCTAAAACCATTGTAGGTATAACATTCACTCTTGCAAATAAAAAAAGTGCTACAGTAACATGGGATGGTAAGCTAGTGCATGTCGTTGTTCAGTCGCACAGTCGAGTCCGACTCTTCGCGACCCCATGGACCAGCTCCCGCCAGGCCCTCCTGTCTTCCGCCGTCCTCTGAAGTTGGCACAATTTCATATTCGTTGCATCTATGACACTGTCTAACCATCTCATCCTTTGCTGTCCCCGTCTTCTTTGTCCTTCAATCTTTCCCAGCATCAGGGTCTTCTCCAGTGAGTGCTCCCTTCTCATTTGGTGGCCAAAGTATTTGAGCTTCAGTTTCATTATCTGGCCTTCCAGGGAACAGTCAGGGTTGATTTCTTTTAGGATTGACTGATTTGATCTTCTTGCAGTCCAAGGGACTCTCAAGAGTCTTCTCCAGCACCATAGTTCAAAAGAATCTATTCTTTGGCGCTCGGCCTTCCTTATAGTCCAACTCTCGCAGCCATACATGACTACTGGGAATACCATTGCTTTGACCATGCGGACTTTTGTTGGCAGGGTGATGTCTCTACTTTTTATCATGCTGTTTAGGTTCGCCATCGCTTTCCTCCCAAGGAGCAGGCGTCTTTTAATTTCATGGCTGCTGTCACAGTCTGTGGTGATCTGGGATCCCAGGAACGTGAAGTCTGTCACTACTTCCACAACTTCCCCTTCTATTTGCCAAGGAATGATGGGGCCGGATGCCATGATCTTAGTTTTTTTGATGTTAAGCTTCAAACCCACTTTTGCGCTCTCCTCTTTTACCCTGAGCAAGAGGCTCTTTAGGTCCTCTTCACTTTCAGCCATTAGAGTGGTATCATCTGCATATCTGAGGTTGTTGATCTTTTCCCCAGCAATCTTAATTCCCGCTTGTGATTCATCCAGGCCAGCATTTCGCATGATGTACTCTGCATATATATTAAATAAGCAAGGTGACAATATACATCCTTGTCGTACTCCTTTTCCTATGCTAAACCAATCAGTTGTTCCATATCCGGTTCTAACTGTCGCTTCTTGGCCCTTATACAGGTTTCTCAAGAAGATAGGGGTGAGCAAACTCTGCAGGCTCACAGGATCAGACTACTATAATAG